AATGTGGTAGTGATTGTACAACACTGATTGAACTCTGGAATGGTATGGTGTCTGATAAAATGGTTTGGGGGAAAATGGGTCAAAAGGGAGATCAAATGATAAGGCACTACATGTTAACCAGTTATACCTTCCACAATCGAGTCTACAGTTCTCTCTGTCTGATAGCAAGGCTTTTCACATTCCTAGACTATGGTCAGAGGGGATTCACCTGAGGCTTAATTCATGTAGGAACCCTACATATGAGCTTTGGGCTCTTTCTGTCACCTATATGTAGCCTTCTGCAAACCAGTGTTCACAATTTAAGCTCTACTATAAATGTCATTATTTACAATCCTTGGGTCACACAGACTTCCATATGAACTTAGTTGATGCTTCACTTAGATGGCTGTTTGTTTGAAAACAAGCCTTTATGTCTCTACCTTTTGATGACTGCAGTGAATCAGTGGGAGTACAAATATTTGCCTGAGTATATGCCCAAGGAGTGGACTTATCAAATTGTGATGCTTTTTTGGAATTGAGGGATAGAAAATCTTATGGCATTTTGGACTTGGTGATGGACCTGAACCACAGGGCATTAGAATCTGGCTTAAGCCACTTTCTGCTCCCCATTCCTCCATTTGTATTTGAGTGTGTGCTTCCAGCAGTGGGCTGTAGGTATCTGCTGTAGATACCTACGAATGGGTGGGTCACAATGATACAGAACTGACTAGTTGAGAAAAATATATTATTTATGGAAAGGTGTTACAGCTATTGCTTCAGAATGGGATGCCATTGAACCCTGAAGTGCTGCCCTCAAAGCTTATTGGGAGAAACTTCAGCACTGGCTCCACAAACTGACAAATATTTAATGAGTACCTGCCTGCTGGGAAAGATTACACAGCCCCCAACACAACTGAATAACGAATGAACTTATTAAGGAACATTCTCTTAATTCTGCATTTTATCAATCATTGCTTCTTTTATTAGTCAGATATACCTGTATGGTTGGGAGCATTTATTTTCATATTGTAGGACAAGGGGCAGCATTTAAATGGAGGTGGGGAGGGTTCCTATGGAAAGTCCCTGAACAAAAGCATGTGGAACCCACACTGGATCCCCCCTGTCCCCCCTGATGTCCTAGATCTGAGTGTTTCAATTTAGTGAATATGTTTTTGTTGATTATAGAAAATTTGTGTTTTAATGAAAGTTAAAATCAACATAAATAATCTAACAGCCCCCCTCCCCCAAAATCATCCCTGCCTCTGCTCTTATAAAAACTAGCACTCACTTGAGATGTCCTAGACCTGCATCCACCTTTAGTTGTGGCACCTATGTGATCTTGCACTAGCTATGTGACCTTGAGCAGATCCCTTTAGTCCCAATAAGCCAACAAGAAAAGAGATCAGCCCATTGCTCTTTAGTTGATTCTGGCTCATGGTGTTCCATAGAACACCTTTCTTCCGTGGTGTCATCTGGATAGATTCCAACCACTAACCTTTAGCCACATGGGGATCCTCCGGAGTTTTCTTATCTGTCAAGAAATTGGACCACTTTCCCCTAGGGTGCCTTCAAGCTTTCAGCAGCTCTACATTGGTCAGTCCCTTGACTCCCTTTGTGAAAATAGGAAGACGGAGAGACTAATGGTGCTTTTTGGTCTGATTTTCTCTCCTCTCACAGGAGCAGCTTCAGCTGCAGGTCTCCTTTACCTGCCCACATGGCCAGCTGCTGTTTCCGGCTGTGTGCTTGCCATCTTCACGGCATCCCTATGGCCTCAAGCACTCGGACGTCTTATTAGCTCTGGGTCAAGCCCTGGGAAAACCATGACTGTTGCCATGGCATTTTATCTTCTAGAAATATTTTTCTGTGCATGGTGCACAGCTTTTAAGTTTGTCCCAGGAGGTGTCTATGCTAGAGAAAGATCTGATGTGCTTTTGGGTAAGTACATTCGAAGGGTCGGAATGCAAGCCATGGCTCACGAATAGACCTGCCTATGGGAAATAAAAGGAGACTTCATCACACAGTGGTGAAAACATGGTGAGCCTGCTGACAGGAACGTTGGCGGTTTGATTCCCCCGGCTACGTGGAGGGAAGAAGATGTAGCAGTCTGTTTCCATAGTGATGACAGCCTGGGGAAGTGGATGAGGCAGCTTTCCTCTGTCCTCCAGGGTTGGCATGACTGGGAACTGACTTGATGGCAGCGGGTTTGGTTTGGTGGAGATAGATAGTATGGTCTTGCCTTTCTTTGGGAAATAGATTTTCTAGATCAGTGGGTCTCAACCTTCCTAATGCCGTGACCCTTTAATACAGGTCTTCATGTTGTGGTGACCCCCAACCATAAAATTATTTTTGGTGCTACTTCATAACTGTAATTTTGTTACTGTTATGAATCGTAATGTAAATATCTGATATGCAGGATGTATTTTCATTGTTACAAATTGAACATAATTAAAACATCGTGATTAATCACAAAAATAAGTAATTATATATTGTGAAATATTTATATGTTTTCTGATGGTCTTAGGCGACTCCTGTGAAAGGGTCGTTTGACCCCCAAAGGGGTCGCAACCCACAGGTTGAGAACCGCTGCCCTAGACACGATTCCTTCTAATAGCCAAGCACCATCTACTTTCTATCATTTACTCTGTAAAAATTAAGTGAGCACTTCACTATTTGCCAGCCATATTGCCAGGGGCTAGAGATCTTTGGAACTTTAGTGGGAGAAACACCCTTCATAAAATGAGACAGAAACATGTAAAAGTCCAATGGGATGAGTCTTGTAAAGGAGATGTGAAGAACACTATTTCTATTCCTTTGCATGTCCCACGGAGTACTTGCTATATAACCAACTGCTCTGTCCATTTCCTCATACACTTTAATATCTCCCGTGGAGAGGACTATTAGGAGAAGCTGCATGAAGTAAACACCTTGTGAGGATTTTGTGTCTCTGATCCTTGCTGGCCCCTATCTCGTCAGAGAGGGCACCGCTGTGTCTCCTCTAGGCTAGCCTTAGCTCTGCCAACTTCGTGCGTCTTCTGGTTTCTTCCAGGTGTGTCTGCTCTGTCCGCTCTCGGCCTGTCCCATGCCCTGCTTTTCTCTCTCCAGCTTGCATAGGGGCAGCCCTGTGGAGAAAGCGAATGAACGTAAGAGCCCACGAGCGGTCCATTGGGTGCATGTGTGGGTTGCTCCTGATTGTTAGCAGGGGTGCTTTCTTTGGGTTCCTTCTCTGTCTAGGGGCGTGCTGAGACTGCTTTCTCAGAGCCTGGAACGGCTGAGAGTTTTTAAAGAAGGATCATCAAGCCAGTGACAAGGCCACAGAGAAAGCTTGTGAACCCTGGTAACGTGCAGAGTGGCTTTTAATACAACCAAGTCACAAGGTTTCTACCTGATGTTAGAACTCAATTATGAATTTATTTTCCAACTTTCTATTGTTTTATGGAAATGTCTTCATAACTTTCTTCTTTTTTTTTTTTTGCTGCTTAAACCATTCCTTGGCACTTCCTGATTTACATATTGCTCAGTTACACGTCTGTTTCCAGTCTTAGTATGGAGGGTTTAAGAAGCGATAGAAACCTTAATTGTCGGCAGCATTGTAACACATCCTAACTTAGCTCAGCTTCATTGGACAGCCTGACTGGCACAGTGTGACTTTTGGCATGCTTTTCTGAGAGGACCCCATGCCCAGAGTCCCTGTATCCCTGATCAGAAATTGCGGTGACCAGATGTCCCGCTTTTGGTGGGACAGTCCTGATTTTAAACAATTTTTCCCGTGTCCCGCGGTGTTTTTAAAAAGTCCCAATTTTTGGAAAGAATGCCCGACAAGCTAGGGTCTACGGTTTTCGGCTGCCATGTGGCTATTTCGCCAGGATATGAGTTGTATCACTGGTGTCCCGCTTTTGTCCCGCTTTAATGTTAAAACTGGTCACCTTATAACGGAGAATCTCCGCAGCCTCTGTTTTGTGCTCGTCCACATGGCGGTGTGATGTGGTCTCTTCAGCGGAGAGGACTGAGTCCCTACACCCACTCAGAAGGCTTCCTTCTCGTGTGTTCTGACCTCCCCTTCCCAGCCAACAACCTCATGCCCAGCGAGTTATGCTGCTAGCAACCTCACAACTGGGAAACACGCAGGAAATTAAAAGAGCTTCACGATTAGGAACAGGCTGAGGTCGTCTCACTCAGCACGCGATTCTGAGAAGTCCAGCAGATCCTGGCCCTAGTGATTAAACTTACTATGACAGTAGTTTACTGAAGAAGGTCGTGAGCTACCGTGAACTTGATGGTTAAATGTCAGGCTATGTCCATTTAAATGACATCTCAGCTCCTAGAATATACTATTGGGAAGACTGGGGAATGGGAACGTACCCTGTTCTTTGTTTCTCTTTTAATAGGGGCAATGATGCTAATCATTGGGCTTGATATGCGACTTGGGCCTCAGAAAAGTCTTGCAGTTCTCCTTCAAACAAAACAGAGTTCCAAAATGCTTTTCAGACAGAGTGAAAAACACATGACACTTCGTAAGTATAGTTCTTTGCTTTTTATAAACAAGCAAACAAGCATTTTCTTATATAGCTCGTCAAACACAGAGGACATTAGTTTGCAGAGAGAACCTCGTAGACCCTTCAATGAACTTTCGTAATGTTCTGCATCTTACCAATTGCTGTTAAATAGCTCCCCCCACACGCCCCCACGCCGACCTTTTTGTTGTTGTTCTTGTTCTCATAGAAGTACTTTAAATTCTTCTGTATTCATTTTTAGGAGCTGTGTGACGGTGGTTACACATTGGGCTGCTAACCTCAAGGTCAGCAGTTCTAAACCACCAGCTCCTCCACATGAGAAAGATGAGGCTTTTCGCCCCCTAAAAAGTTACAGTCTCTGAAACACGCAGGAGCGGTTGTACCCTGTCTTGTAGGGTCTCTGAGTCGGAATCAGCTCATTGGCAGTGAGTTTGATTTTGGTTTTGGGATTCAAGTTTGCCTCCCTTGTAGTGTGGACCAGATCATTCAACTGATAGAATTTCCAAAGTGCTTTGCTCTAATAGTTCAGAGAATTTTTTTTCATTCCTAGCTATCATTTTTTGGGGGAGATTAAATGGATTCATGTTTGGAATTTGAGTAAACCCAATCCTGTAATTAGTTTAGTATTCAGTAGCTGACTCATTCCTGCTAGACTGGATTAAATGAAAATATTTATTGAATGCCTATAGGGTGCAGATATTGTTTTAGGTAGCTGTTATGTGGTATATAAAGATGAGTTAAAAAATATTTCTCACCCTCAAGGAGATGATATTTTCCTAAAGGAAGTACACGATTTCTTGTAATGAAATCAGAAATAGTTAAAAAGCTAAGTAAAGTTTTAGTGTACATATTTCTAGAAGAAATGTTATAAAATGATACCATTACATAAAAATTTCTATACATGTTTCATCATAAGTTGTAAACATTATAAGGGAACCTCATGAAGTTTGTGGGAAAATTCATGGCCAATCTGCTGTTTGTCTTGCCCTTTGAATTTTAATTATTGTATCTTTATTCTTGGAAGTCTATTTGATGCTTTACAAGCATTTCTAATCATTCATTACAGTTTCATGCTCCTCGGTTCCTTCTTTTTTTTTTTTAAACATGTCAACACTTCTTTTACATCCTGTTTCAGGAAGTTCCTGTATTTTGAAATCTTTGTGATTTGATTCTACAGGGTTTCTCCCACCTTCTTGCGCAGAGAGATTTGCCAACAGGTCTCTGTGATCAAGACCCTGACTTGAAGTGCAATGTATATTGGAATATTTTTGTGAAGATTATTTGAGGCCTGGATTTAAATTGTGGGTTATGTTATGCATGTTACACATGAAAACGAACCCATTAATTAAATATTTCCCCTTTGCATAAAATTCTTGGTTCATAAATTCAGTGCAATCATAAAATGATTTTTATAAATCAGTAAACTTGGCTTCATGAAACTCAGTTTCTCTTAGACAATTATTTCTTGGTCTTGTTTAGTCTTGTGGCTGCTTGTTGGTATGGGCTTGCTGGGATTAGGACTACGGCACACAGCCTATCAGAGAAAATTGGTCAAAGAGGTAAGTAATTTAAAATTTTAAAATAGAGTTTTATATGCTATCTATTTATCTGCATACATTTATACTTTGAACTATAGATGAAGGGAACTCTTACAGGGGTTGCTTTTTCAGGTTCTGGTTGCTTCTGTATAGGTGGACTGTAGCATTTTTCTTTTCTCGTCCTTCTCCTACTGTTGACTATATATGTGGGTATTTATTATCTTTTTCTCTTCCAACATTGCCTGCAAGGTTGTGCATCATATTGGCTCCAATCAAAATTTTGAAGTGTTTTATCGTGAGTTAGGTTTGGGCTGAAATAAAACTTGAAGCTTAACTGGGAATTTTAATATTCTCTACTATCTGGCAGATCTTTCATATAAAGTAAAAATGTGTAACGAGGGCAGAGATTATGCTTCTCTCGTGCATCGTTGTCTTCGAGCACCTCACAGAATGTTGGCATCTATTCAGTTCTCCGGAACCATTTGTCTAAAATTAAGTAATGTATTAAATGGTCGCTTTCTTTTGCTCTTTAATGCAAGGGGAAGCCAGCCCCTAGCACATCATTACGGGTCCAGTAGGAGCAATGGTGCAGCGATAATAAGTAAAGATTATAGTAAAGTCATAAAGAGCATGAGAGATAGAGGAGAACTATTGAAATAATGGAGTCAGACACAATTCATGGTAGCAAGGCTCACCTCAGCCCTGCTTGGTGGTCCACGTGGAGAGAGAGGGGAAGGGAAGGAGGGCAAGGGAACAAGGGAGCGAGGATGGGAGAGGAGAGGAGGAGCCGAGCAAGAGCCGGGGAGAGAGAGCTCTCTATTGCTAACCCAGGTCTATATACATTTGGGGGCGTGCAAGCCCACTAATTACAGGTAAAGACATACATCACAGGAAGGGGTTACATTATAGGTTATATAGCAATGTGAGGGGGTGGTCTAGGGACATACACGCAATAGGAAGAGGAGGGATTGGGGGTATATAGGTGACAAGATGGGCAGACCCCAGATTTAGGATGGCAGCTTAACTTTGACCTGTTCTCTGGGTCTCCATAGGAACCATTATCAGTAGGGTGTAAACCCTACCTATAGGAACCAAAAAGATGACTGCAGGCCTGCCCATTATCCTTAACAGCAGGGAGTGGGCCCACTTCAGTCTGGTAACTGATCGTCCTCAGGGAGGATGCCTGCAAGCATCTGACCTCCCCCCTCACACTTTAATTGCTGCCTGCTATTATTGTAGCTATAATAATTATAACTATAGAACTATACACACACACACATATATACACACACACACACACCTATACATACATACATACATACATACATACATACCTGGTGGCGTAGTGGTTACTTGTTGAGTTACAAACTGCCAGGTGAGCAGTTAGAATCCACCGTGGCTCTACTGGGATAAAGAAGAGGCTTTCTACTCACATAAAGAATTGCAGTCTGGGAAACTCGCGGGGGAAGTTCTGTCTATAGAGTTTCTATAAGTCAGAATTGAATTGATGACAGTGACTATGGTTTATTATTATATAAAATCCATCAGGAAGGATGCCTAAGGTCAGCAAGGGTTGTTTTTCAAAGGGAGTTATTTGAATTGAGTTTAATATGTGCTCTTTCTTGCATTCATTGATAAATGTTTATGGAATACCTCTTATATGACTGGTACCAGGGATACAGAATTACACAAATTAGACAAGATACTTGGCTTCAAAGGGTTCACATCCCAGGAGGAAAGAAATAATTTCACAAATCAAAGTCTGCCATGTTTGATTGGGCTGCTACGAAGGAAATTGGGTGATTGAGCATCAGGATGGCTGGAGAAGGCTATTGTGAGGAGAGGACTTTTGATCTGAGACCTAGAGGTTGAGAATAAGCCATGTATGCAGAGAACTGGTGTTAAAAGCATTCAGATAGAGGAAACATGGGGAAAACACTGAATTGGGAACAAGCTTGACATGTTTAAACATGAGCATGTGGCTGGCCAGTGTGGCTGAAGCTTTCTGAGGAAATAGAGTAGTGAAAGATGACATTGGCTAGGCTGGTGAGGGCCACCTCACCTAAGGTTTTGTAGCTCACAGGCCGTACCTGCAACGGAATCCATAGGAATGTCTTAAACAGGAAAGTGAAGAAACCCGTGACGTATCACTTAGATGGCTTTGGGATGAATGGATTGTCGGGGGACACAGAAGTGGAAGCAGAGAGCTATGTCCTGGGGCTTTCTCAGTTGTCCCAGAGAGGGATGATGGTGGAGATGGGAGAAGTTGACAGATTTAGAATATATTTTGAAAGCAAAGCTGATTGGGCTTAATTGAATTACTGAGAATGAGACTAATAATAGGTTTTCAATCATTCAACTAACAGTTAATCACAGAAATGTAGTTTTGTTAAAAAAAAAAAGGTGGGGGGAATAGCTTGATGAAGATGATCATGCCTCTTGAAACATCTGTGGATGGTTTCACGCATTTTTTATGACATATTTGCCCAAAAGAATAAATCTTCTTGGTAAAAATGAAATGTCCAGTCCACTGCTGGTAGAGCAAGTACATCGAGCTATTTATATAAAGTAGTTGACCTCCTAGGCAATGTATTAATCTGGGTAGACTAGAGAAACAAATTCATGGGCACATGTGTATAAGAAAGAGGCTTATATACAAGAGTAATTGAATATTGAGAAAACATCCCAGCCCAGTCCAGATCAGGTCCATAAGTCCAGTATTAGCCCTTATTTCTGATACCAATCTATCAAGTCCTCTTCAGGCTCCTGAAATACTTGCAGTGAGGCTGAATGCAGGAAGATCACAGGCCAGTGGGTGCAAAGTCAGTGGCGGTAGAAGCATCTCAGCACTAGCAGGGGTCTCCATGTGGCTTCTCCAGTTCCCAGGGTTGCATCAGGGTAGTTCCATGTGCCTTCTTCTCAGGGATGTCTCTCAGGGAGTGAGGAGAGAGAGACTCTCCTGCCTCCAAGGAGGAAATCCAGGAGTTCCCAGAGTTCTCAGGAGAAGGCCATGCCCACACAGAGGCCTCATTGGTCATATCTTGATTGACAGGCCGGACTCTACCCCTTCACTCATAATCCTCTCAAATTGACACCAGATTATGTAACTACCACAATATTGCTACTTATACTTCTCCTTACCTACGTTTATAGGGTCCAGTTTGAGTTGTTTCTTCATTTGATGCTTTTGTTCTTATTCAGCCATGCCTTCCAAAATCCCTGCTGTAGGTCAGTGTATATTTGTTTGAGACGGACGGTTAGGACCAGGCAGTGCACTCTCAGACCAAGCTCACGAATCTCAAAGAAGAGCTGTGCTCCTCACATTTCCCTTTCTGTCAGTGGACTCTGACCCATGGTGACCTTATGCACAACAAAACAACACTCTATTGAGCCCTGCAGCATGCTCGCCGTGCTGCACGCCACCATTGTGGCTCTGTGTCAGTCCTTTTCACTGACCTTCTTCCTTGCCGTGGTTGGCCCGCTCCTTCATCACATGTGATGTCCTTCTCCAGCATTGGATCCTTGTGGTGATGCATAAGGTGTTCATTGGGTCACTGGACCCTTCTTCCTAGTCGGCCTTAGTCTGCACGCTTAGCTTAGCCCTGTGCATCTTGTGCGATGCTGCTAGTATATGAGATACCAGTGGGGTCGCTTTCAGTCTCACAGCAACACACTAACCACCACGGTGTGACAGACTGACAGATGGGAGGTAGCAGTATAATAGGGATAGAAGATTATATGGGAATCAGTAGATCACTAAACAAATATGTTACAGCTTCCTGTGTATCCCTTGGTGATCTCATTTTCCTCTATGAACGTAACCACTGTCTAAATGCGACATTTATCATTTTCATGCATTCCTTTAGATCGCTGTTACATCCCTATGTCATAGTGGTTTTTATCCTTTCTGTTTTTAAACTTCAAGTGATATTATGTGACTGATGTTGTTTTAAGTTAAAGTTGCTTTTGTGAGGTTCAGCCATGGAACCCCAATGCATTTCTTTTCATTGCCAGGAAGCATTCCAAGATGCACATTTGACATTGTTTACATAAGCATGCTTCCTGTTTTATTATAGACAAATCATTTCTAATTTTTGCTGGTATTATAACCAGTTTGCTTATATATCATTATAATATATTATAATATATAAGCAATTTGCTTATAAATAATCACTTCTCAAATATCCCTCCTTACATTCAAGCTTAATCTAGATGCTTAAGGAGGGTTTACTATGAGAATTCTGTACAGGGAATGTCTTCTTATTTTTATGAATTAAAAGGGGGCACATGTTTAGGGTCACCATTCATGTGTACCTTTGACCTTAATAATAAAAGCGCAACACCAAGATTGGAGGAAGACCCATTAACAACCTATGATATAGACATGGCACAACCTTGTTTGCTGTAAAATGAAGAGCATTTGAAATGGACTTAATGAGCTTGAAGACGACTTAATGATGAACATCGCAGACTAGCCTTCAATATAAATCACACTGCAACATAAAGACCACAACAACCTCACAACTATACTAATAAGCAATAGTATGAACAACGGAGAACATATTGAACTTGTCAAGGATTTCATGTTATTTGGATCCATAATCAATGCCCATGGAAACAGCAGTAAAGAAATCAAGTGACGTATTTCATTGGGTAAATCCACGCAAAACACCTCTTTAAAGCATTAAAGAGCAAAGATGTTACTTCAAGGACTAAGGTGCGCCTGGCCCAAGTCATTGTATGTACAGTGGCCTCCACGCCCATGAAAGCGGGACAATGAAAATGGAAGCCCACAGAAGAATCGATGTCTTTGAATTGTGATGTGGGTGAAGAATGTGGATTCTTCTTCCAGAAGAATGAACAAGTCTGTCATGGAAGAAGTACAGCCTTAGAGATGTTCCTTAGAGCAGAAGCTGGTGAGACTTTGTCTTGGGCACTTTGGAAGTGTTCTCAGGAAAGACGTCCCTAGAGAAGATCATGCTTGGTGGAGGATCCTCACAAAAGAGGGGCCTCCTCAATGAAAGTAATTGACCGAGGTCTGCATCCGCGGACTCAAGCAGTCCTGGTGGTGAGGATGGTGCAGGACTGGACGGTGTGTTCGTTCTGTTGTACAGAGAGTCGCTGGGTTGGAAGTGAGTTGGTGACACCCAACAATGCCAACAGAATGTGGGAGGGTCTTCCTTTGCTGAAACATGGTGCAGAGGTTATTTGGGAGTATGTAGAGTCAGGTGGCGGAAATGGGTCGCTGAAACTGCCACTGTTCATAGCCATCATAAATCACCATTAAAACAATTCTCCAGGCTCCAGCCAGAGAGGTCTCTGTCGCCATCTGGCCTTTCCGGTTTGGCTACAACAATGAAGGATGGTCTAATCTAGAACGATCAGCTCAACTGCTCAATCACACAGGTAAGTCAATCACACAGGTGAGAAACTACCATTTCGCTTTGATTTTGATTAAGGCCATAAGCCATCGGAGGAGGACTTGCTGGGTCATAAAGTACCACCTTCACAAAGCGTTACTTTGATTGACTAAAGCTTCTGTGACCACATGGGTCCTGTCTGAAAGAAATCCAGTTGGTTCTGAATACAGCATCCTACTGAGTAGCTTCAGGGGGTTCTTCTCATGCCTTGTAATTAGAGACATCCCTGCTGGTGGCTCCTGTCATTTCACGACCTTCTATTAGGGATCTGGAAGACTGTTGGATGAAAGGGCAGAAGGAGGCAGATTGATAATCATTTTCTAGCCGTTTTCTTTCAAGAGTTTGAGGGTTAGTTTGAGGTTACTGTATATACTCCAGCATAAGCCAAGTTTTTCAGCACATTTTTAATGCAGCTTTTGTGGTAAAATTAGGTGGATATTTGGGTTGGCTTATACTCGAGTATATAGGGTATTTGATTCTTTTTTTTTCCTCCCCACCCCTTCCCACCACCCATCCCCAAGGTTATATGATTTTGTGTCCTGGCTTGCTCATCTTCAATGAAACATCATTTAAAATGTATAAGCATTTGGATCTTAGATCACCTATATGTGGAGGGAAATAAATGGGGTAACTCTTCTGGTTATTCCTACTGATCAGCAAGCATGTTCCCTGAGCAACTTTAGACTCTGTGTGATTACTATGTTAATACACAGTTTCTCTGGCCCTTAGTCCTCATTTGGTTCTGGTGACATATCTGGCCAGGGTCTGAAAAACGAATCAACTTCTGTGTCACTAGCAGCGGAAAAGGTGGTGCCAACGGTGAAGTGCTAAGGACTAGCTGGAAGCTTGATGGTTGGGCCCATTTAGAGGTGTCTCTGGAGACAGTCCTGGCGATTTGCTTCAGAAAGGTCATAGCCCTAAGAACCCTTATGAAGCCGTTCCACTTTGCTTGGAAAATACATGGAGCTTTCATGAGTTGGAATGAACTCATAGGCATCTAATGACAAGAACATCACCCTAGAATAAAATGTTATATGCATTCTTGTATTATTTCTGAATATAAATTAGTTTTTTAAGAAAGGCACTATAATTATTTAAAGTTTTGACTATTTAAGAAAGATATTCAGAGTATTTGAAACTGTAGATTATTTATGCTTTTATCCCTTCCTGCCCTTCTTGGAGGTATTTTATGTTTTAGTCACCCTCTAAACATGGGGAAAATCCTTGCTAGATCAGTTTTGAGCTATTCCACTTTAGTGACTCCTTAGGAAAGACTTTACTTTCAATGTAGGAGTAAAAGGGAAAGGGTTAAGTGTCAAGAATAAAGTTTTACTAGTTGTTTTTTGCATTGTGCATTTAATCATTATGTTCATTTCACCCACCCACTACCAGGTGCAGATTTTATAACAATTTTAGAAAGTGATGCTTCGAAGCCCTACATGGGGAACAACGATTTAACCATGTGGCTTGGGGAGAAGTTGGGTTTCTATACTGATTTTGGTCCAAGCACAAGGGATCACACTTGGGGGTGAGTATGTTTTGGGAATTAATCCTGAACTTAGCTCTGAAACTCATTAAGTGGCAAAGGCTTGAGGTGAGATCACCAAGACCTTGTTCTATGGCATTTAGTGATGTTTCTTAGGAGATTGAAGTACTTAGGAATAAATATTAATGAAACCTTCACACAGAGCTGATAGTCCAGAATCCCTCTCCACTGATGGTCTTGAAAAAAATACATATATATATATTTAATATAATTCTTACCAGAGTCGGGCTGGCTCATTCGGCACCTTTCCCTCTGTACCCTTAGAATGCCACTTAAATGTATCTAGAACATCACTGAGTACAGCAGCACAGCAGTGGCTCAAGGCTATAGGTGTCAGACAGTCACTGGAGAATTCTGAAAAATTACTGATTCTTGAGTCAGAGGCCAGGTCTACTAAGTCAGAGACTCTGCAAAGAGTTGGAAGGTTGAGTCTGGAAAGAATGATAAAGTCTTGCATCTTAAATGATAACAGGAAGGTGCAGGCAGAGAGAGAGGGGGTTAGGTTCCCAGGGCTGTCCTTATGAGAATACCTCACCCACAAGGAGGTACTATCAGGCTGTCATCTGACTGACAGGGTAGATTCCACCCCTACACTTCTATATCTTCAAGTTGATATGAAATAATGTGACTACCACATATACTTTCAGCAACTTATATAAACTCACTGCCACAGAGTCGATGCCAACTCATAGCGACCCTCTAGGGCAGGGTAGAACTGGCCCTGTGGGTGTCTGAGACTGGCACTCTGCTCGAGTAGAAAGCCCCGTCTCTCTCCTCTAGAGCGGCTGGTCGTTTCCAGCTGCTGACCTCGCAGTTTGTTAGCAGCTCAGCAGGTAACCACCACGCCAGCAGGGCTCCCTAGGCAAGTGTAACAGTCTTCAGAGTTAATGATGAGACATTGAAGAGTAGAAGGAAAGCTTTCCTCTGAAAGTCAACTGCAGTGGATTACTGTCTGCCTCAAGAAAGAAGTGGTGTGTGTGTAACTGCATTTTGCGCCTGTAATGGCGTGGCAAAGCCAAGGGTGTTTGCTAGTGCATACTGGTAAGTCCATGGTTCCAGCCACTACAGTGAACCCTTGTTTATCGCGGTTAATCAGTTCTAGACCCTACCGTGATAAATGAAATTCTGCGAAGTAGGATTCCTTATTTGTAAATCAAATATTTTCGTAGTTAGAGCATAGAGGACATGAAAAAACACCCTTTAGTCACCATTACACTCGTATTACCCAATTTATTAAACGAAAAAGGGAAAATACAGTAAAACATTTTGGACATTACAATTATCATTTATTATTTATTATATTATTTATGGCATCAAGCGTGTACAGTATGAGCCAATCAGTGGCAGTAATGACAGAGCATGCGCTGTTACGCAGAAACCGCGATAGAGTGAAGCAGCGGAAGTCGAAGTGCGAAATGGCGAGGGTTCACTGTATTTGGACTTGAGCTCTTTGTTGCTTTTTCATAGATTAGTAGGTTTTGTGGGTTATTGAGGTGGTTGGACCACCCAGTGGTTTCAGTACATTAATGATGTTGTGAACTGCCGCCACCATCTAACTTCAGAACATTTACCTCACCCCAGAAAGAAACCAGCTCCCTCCTGTCACTCCCACCCCTGTCACCACCCCCTCACAGCCACTAATGTCCCATCGGCAGCAATCGACCTCTTGTGGATGGTTCATCTCCATGGAACCACGTATTTGTGATTTGTGTCTGGTTTCTTTGGCTCAAACCAAGTCAAACTGGCCGCCATCAAGTCAATGCCGGCTCATAATGATCCTGTGGTCAGAAGGGAACGTGGTACCTCTGAGGCTGTGCGTCTTTAGGGAAACAGACAGCTTCCTCTTTCTCCTGTGGACCGAGAGGTGGTTTCAAACCGCTGGTCCTTGGTTAGCAGCTCAGCAAGTAACCTGCTATACCGCTAGGGTTCCCTTTTTTTCACAAAGCATACTAGGTTAAAAATCCATCCATGTTGCAGCATGTGTCAATGCTGCATTTCTTTTTATGGATGAGTCCATTGTATCAGTTGATAGATGTTGGCTGGTAAGAATAATGGTGCCATGAATATCTGTCTATAAGTTTTTGTGTGGACACAAGTTGTTAGTTCTTTTAACTGTATCCCTAAGGAGGCCTGGTAGCATAGTGGTTACAGATTGAGCTCATACTCACAAGGTCGGCAGTTCGAAAGCACCAGCTCCTCCCTGGGAGAAAGAGGAGGCTTCCTACTGCCTTAAAGTATCCCAGTCTCAGAAACCGCCTGTTCTACTCTGTCCCATCAGTTCACCATGAATTAGAATTGGTAGTGAGTTGAGTTTAATTTTGCAAGTTGCTGCTTTGTATCTTCCCTGGCAAGGTTATATAGTCTCACCTATTTTGATTAATGTTAGAGTGTGGTTCTGCAAATATCTAAGGAACCATGCAAATAATATGCTTTGCATGTTATTACTCGTGCTGCTCATTAGCTCTGGTAATGGAGTGAGTTACTGCGTTAGGCTGAGTTGTTTAAACAAACAAGACCCGGGACACTCATATCTGTATGAGGAAGCACTTTGTGTCAAGAAGTAATTTCACGTCAAGAAGGCATCCCCGCCCGGGATAATTAAGTCCGTTGGTCTGATGCTTGCCGGGGCCTCTCCAGACTCATGTAGCTGCAGGCCAGTAATGCCGAGAAGTGGAGGTGGAGCAGGATACAGCAAGATCACAGGCCTGTGCTGCAGAGGCAATGGAAACGTGGCAGGGTGCAGGCTGCTCTTAGGTTCAGGTGGTCCAGTGGAGCCGCCCTTGGAGGCAGGCACAGAGTCCCAGCAAGCAGGAAGGCAAAGGGGCAGAAAGAGAGGTTCCCAGTTTCTCTCTTATGAAAAAGCCACACCCCCAAGGAGGTGTCACCATCAACCTGACTGACAGGTTGGACTCCACCCCTCCACGAGTACAGGTTGACAAAATCTAACCATCACGCTAACTCATCATAAGGTCGGTTGTATGAACCCACCAGCTGCTCTTCGAAAGACAGATGAGGCTGTTGCAGCTCCCATGAAGACACACAGCCTTGGAAATAAGGGCAGTTCTGCTTTGGCCTGTAGTGACTGCGGGGTTGGGATGACTCAAGGCCAAGGGTTCTGTGCGGCTCAGTTAGTGTGGGTGTGCTGCTGTTTGCGTCTGT